AGAGCGTCGAAGAAAGTGCACCGATAATGACGGCGCGAAGGAGCGGAAGCGCGTCGCCTGGTGGAGGAAACGAGTGCGATGCTGCCATGACAGAATGGGACATATGCGAAGAAGTTTGGTTTCGCGGGGACACGAGTGAAAGCCACGTGGGAGTTGACGACCGGGCAAGAACTACCACAGTAGTAGACTGTAAAATCTGTAACAATAGTTCCCATAGAGAGTGTGCAATACCAGTGTATTGTGGTATTCGCTCCACTCTAGGCACTCCCACAGGACAATTATTACATCATGCAATTTCCTCCGCGTTTCGTATTCACTTTTTTGATGCCACCTTGATATGCCACGTATTCGTGGACGTATCGGTTGTCTATCTTGCCTCGCGTCGCGTCGTTTCCTCCGCGGAGAATTGTTATTTCTCCCGGGGCCTATTCGGAGCCTGCGCGCGCGAACGCAGTCGATGGGTCCATTGAAATCTAAATAATCAAATATGCCAGGATATCCGGGAAAAGCGTACGGGATGCATCAAGAGATACTCATACTTTCTCTACTAATTGCTTGACAAACCCGTAGGCGATCTCTTCTTAACATATTTATCTACTCAGCGTTCTAATTAATAAAATATTACCTAAGATTTTTTTATATAATTGTTAGAAGCGATTTTATTGTTGATAATCGTCAATAGTTGCTAGCTTGATAGTCGAGCCTCAAATTGAATTCCTATCGGAGCAAAATAGCTTAAAATTGAACGAAAAATCAGATCTTGTTATTTATTTACGCTTTTGAAGCTTAATTCACCAAGACATTGCAATTTTCAACGTATAACGTTGTATAACGTTAATTGGACATCCCGGTAAGGGGTTTTGCTAAAAAAAAATCAATTTTTTTAATACATTAGAAACTATTATTAATACAGTTCTGTTTTTTTATTTAATAGTTAAATCAGTTTAATTTAGTTAATTTAATTTAAGACTGCAAACTCAAGGAGCATTTTAATTCTTAGGAACTTTGGGATATATTGAAATTGATTAAAACTCACATCTTATTGATTATAATTTTTTAATTTCCTTTTTATAAGCGCGCTGTTTAAAATAATTAAACAATCGCGTGATTAATTTCTTCGGAAGTAAGTGGTTGGTACAGAGTTAATTGTATCGCAATCAGAAGTTACACATTATCTCAGTTATATTTCGACTGACACACCTACTTCGTTACATACGAAAGGTCTCACATTATGGCCGTGGAAACTATGCTCAGGTTCGTGCTTCATTTTTGGCTGCCAACAATGCTGAAACTTCACTGAAATTATGTCATTTCTTATTATGTAATGTGTAATTGTAATTTGAACATGCCAAAACGTACGGCGAATGGATATTGCAAAATGCCCTTTAATACGTGATCGGACAATTTGCGATCAATGTTAAAATACATGAGACAAGTACTACAATATGAGTTTATAAAATGCAAATGATGAATTTAGTTTTAAATTGTTGAAGATCCTACGGAATAAACATTAAGAATATTTGACGCACAATTATAATATAATAAATCTATAATATCATTTTTTTCTTTTCATATTGTTCATATTCAATTTGTAAAATACTTTAATATTAAATTCTATTATTTACATTTCTATAATAAAAAAAATATTAGTTACAACATTGATGAGATGGCATAAAGAAACGTGTATCTCTGAGAATTGATGTTACCGTCTTATTTTATCATGCGTGCGAATCACATTCTTTTATAATTTGTAGACTCATTACTTTTATCTAGCCGAAGCAGTACTAAGTCATTGCAAACTGTTTTCTCGTCCTAAATGCATATTTTATCATTTGTAATGAACTAGTTCTTACGTGTTGGTACTGACTCATTGATGTCGTGACGTGCAACGCCTCGTATATACTGCCTTCCGTACGGCATTGCAAGGCGTGATGAAATGCATCAGGAACTATGCTATAATGTAGAAGTAAAAAATAGTAAGAAAGAGAGAGAGAGAGAGAGAGAGAGAGAGAGAGAGAGAGAGAGAGA